TGGGTCACCCTGCCTCAGTGGGAGACCCAACTCTCCCCCAGACCAACCCCCCCAGCCACCCCACCCCCCCGCCCCCCAGCCCAGACCAGCACGACAGCACCCCCCCACCACCCCCAGCCCCCAGCTCCCCACCACCAGCCCTCCCCACCACTCACCCCACCCCCCCCTAGCCCCCCTCCCCAGCCCCAGCCCCCCCCCCCAGCCACCCCCCACTCCCCCCTCCCCCACCCCAGCTAGCATGTTAAAGTGTGGCATGAACATTTTTCCAGACAAATGGAGTCTGAGAATTAGAGATAGTTTGTGGTTTGACAATATAAAATTTAAGAGCTATGGAGAAGTTGAAATAGTTTAATAGTTTAGAAAGGTTGGAGAAAGTTAAGTTGATAAAAAATTCTAAATTTAAAAAGAAAAACTTCGTTTTTCTTTTTAGTTCACCCTGCCTCAGTGGGACATGGCCAGTGTGATTGGAAAGATAAAAAAAAAAATGATCAATAAAGTATATATAGAAATTAGATCGAATAGAAATGACCCAAAATGGATGAATAATAGGCTCAAATATCTTTTAGGACAGAAAAAATGAATTTATAGGCACATCAAAAGAGGTGAGGGTCATCTTATGAATCATTATATTGACATTAAGAGGGACATTAAAAAGGGGATACGGAAAGCTAATCGGGACTATGAAATTAAAGTTGCTAGGGAATCAAAAACCAACCCAAAAAGTTTTTTCCAGGTATTAGAGAACAAATGTTAGAGAGAAGATAGGTCAACTTAAAGATAGCTCTTGGCATCTCATTGACAAGGAGAAAGAAATGTGCTCTATTCTTAATAATTATTTTCTCTGTTTTCACTTGGGAGGACACTAACAATATCCCAGTAATAAATTTTTATAGTGGGCCTGAAGACGATAAAGTATGCAATATCATAGTCACTAGCGAAATGGTTATCAAACAGATGCAGACTGAAGCAAAATAAATCCCCAGGCCCTGATGAACTTTTTTCTAAGGTACTTTGTGTAAAATGGAACTTTGTGAACCATTGATTAATACTTTTAATATTTCTCTTCAAACAGGTGTAGTGTCTGATATGTGGAAGATGGCTAATGTAATTCCTATTTTTAAAGCAGGGGACAAGTCGGTGCCATCAAATTACCACCCAATAAGCCTTACCTCAATTGTAGGCATATTACTAGAATCAATTATAGCTGATAATATAAGAAGCCATCTGGATAAGCACAGCTTGATTAATGATACTCGGCATGGATTCACGAGGGGCCGTTCCTTGCCTACTTATTTATTAACGGTTCTTCAGTATAAGCGTTTTGAGGACCGATGATCATGATAAAGAATTCGTTATTGTTTATTTAGATTTTAGTAGCTTTTGATAAGAAGTACTGCACCTGAGACTTAAAAAAAAGTGGCAGTCATGGCACTGGGGGAAAAAGTGCTGTCATGATCGAGTATGGCTCACTAATAGGAAGCGGAAGGATGCTTAAATGGGGTTATAAATCCCAGTGGGGATCTGTAACAACTGGCGTACCACAGGGTATCAGTTTTAGCCCGTGGTTATAATTATATATCAATGACCTTGATGGAGGGTATTAATAGTTGATATGAGCAATTCACACAATAGAATTCACACAAAGTGGGAGGTTGTCACAGTGCATCTTTGCTGATGACACTGTGCTCTTGGGAGGTTCTGAAGAGTAGGTGATGAGGATGGTGGATGGAATTGGTAGGGTATTGCAAAAAGAAATTAAAAGTGAATACATGAAAGAGTAGGTAATGAGGATAACAAAACATTAGGTGATGCAAGAGTGGATATCAGATTGGAGGGGGGGAAGAGAAGTATGGAGGAGGTGAATTTTATTCAGTTTTTTGGGAGTGGATCGTGTCACGGATGGGTCTATGAAAGATGAGGTGAATCCTAGAACTGATGAGGGAAAAGGGCAAGTGGTGCGCTTAGTTGTCTGTGGAGACAAGGACTTATCCTTTGGAGGCATAGGAGGGGAATGTATGAGAGTATAGTTTTACAATGCTCTTCTTACAAGGGTGTGAAGGGCATGGGTGATTGAATGTTGCAGTGAGGGAAGGCTGGAGGCAGTGGAGATGTCACGTTGAGGGCAGTGTGTGGTGTTGAATATATGCAGAGAATACCCCCCCCTCCCCCCCCCCTTTTTTCCCCCCCCCCCCCCCTACCCCCCCCCCCCCCCCCCCCCCCCCCCCCCCCCTTTTTTCCCCCCCCCCCCCCTAGTTGGAAGTTAGGAGGAGTGAGGATTACCAAAACTGTTGGTCCAGAGGGCTGAGGAAGGGTTGTTGAGGTGGTTCGGAACAGAGTGACTTCAAGAGTGTATCAGTCTTAGTGGAAGGAAGGTGGGTAGGGGTCGGCCTAGAGAAAGGTTGGAGGGAGGGGGGTAAGGAGGTTTTGAGTGAGAGGGGCTTGGGACTTCAGCAGCATGCGTGAGCTGTTGATAGGATTGAATGGAGACAAATGGTTTTTAATACTTGACGTTTTGCTGTTGGAGTGTGAGCAAAGTACATTTTTGAAGGGGTTCAGGGAAAGGCAGGGCGGACTTGATCTGGAGAGGGAAGTACAGTTGCCTTGCACTCTGAAGGAGGGGTTAATGTTGCAGTTAATAAACTGTAGTGTAAAAGCACCCCTTATGGCAAGACAATGATGGAGTGAATGTGGTGAAAGTTTTTCTTTTACGGGCCACCCCCTGCCTTGGTGGAATCGGCCAGTGTGATAAAAAAACATAATAAAAATAATAATGAGCAAATTCACGATGGACACAGAAAGGTAGGATAATTGATTCAAACGTAAGATGTTAGGGAAATTCAGAAGGGATTTAGAACAAATATTCTTGGTCAGAAAAAGTGGCAGATGCGTTCAGTGTAGGATAAATGCAAGGTTCTGACAGCTTGGGAGTTCCATAACTCCGCACTTGATAGTTAAATGATGCCAGAACTTAGCCATATAGATTGTGAAAAAAGACTTGGGGGTTATGGTGAGCAGCAACCTTAAACCAAGACAGGCAATGCCTAAGCGTAGTATAGGCAATAGATTACTGGTTTATATCAAGAAGGTAAGCCAACAGAACGCGCCAGAGGTTATACTGCAGCTTTATACATCATTAGTATGGCATCACCTAGATTGTGCAGCTCAGTTTGGAATCATATTAAGAATGGACCATAATTCGTTAGAAAACATTCAGCGTAGGCTAAATAAAATTAATACATAGCATTAGAAAATTTCCTTATGAAGAAAGATTGAAGACTCATAAAATTGCATTCACTTGTTAGACGAAGAATGAGGGGAGACTGATCAAAGTGTATAAGCGGAAGAGGGTATTAATAAATGGGATATAAATAAACTCAGCGGCTAAACCGGAAAACTCGCAATATTGGATTTAAATTAGATAAGTTTAGATTTAGAAAGGATGTAGGAAAGTATAGGTTTGCAAATAGGGTAGTTGAGTGGAACAGTCTACCTAGTTGGATTATTGAGGCTAGGACTTTAGGCAGTTTCAAATTTAGGTTAGGTAAATGACTGAGGGGTTAGATTTGAGTGGGACTTGCAAATGAGTGGATAGAGCTATCAGAGCTTATTTCTTGGGTAGCATTGAAAATTGGGTTGGGAAAATGTTTTGTTAGTGGGATGAATTGTAAAGGATCTGCCTAGTATGGGCCAACAAGCCTGCTGCAGTGTTCCTCCTTTCTTCTGTTCTTATGTAAGACACTAAAAAACATTGATCACCTGGAATTTATATTTTAACCAAAGGAAAGCACCATTCTTGTGGACAATCAAATATCCACTGTTTATTGTCTACCAAGACAATTTTTTAATAATGGAGGCAATAATAAAGCTTACTTTCATACTTTCTTTCTGATAGATTTTGTAGTCTTCCAGACTGGCATAACATCTGTATCTGAGTAACCATCATTGCTGCTGGAGTCATCAGATTCCAGTTTATTTGGCGTGGTGGTCAATGAGGCTTCAGTTGAGATTTGTAAGGTGACTGGCTGGGTTCAGTGTCACATTCAGTCAGTGTCAGTTTTCGTACTTTCTTCCTCAAATGTTTTTACATTTCTTCTTGTATTCTCTGATCGTCATCACTAGAGAATGAATCAAGAGTTTTAGTTCCTAAGTAATTTACTTTAGTTTCAAACATAGAAAAAGTTGATAAATTAGACACGTGCAACTCTTGGGTATCTTTATTAAGGAAACGTTTCGCCACAGTGGCTTCATCAGTCCGTACACAGGGGAAACTTGAACAGGAGGAGAATGAGGTAATCAGTCCATCAACCTGGAGTCGATGTGGTCAGTCCATCAATCGAATAGAATGATGGACTGACCACCATCGACTCAAGGTTTGGAGGGGGGCTTGGATTACTTCATTTCCTCCTGTTCAAGGTTTTCCCATGTGTATTGGATGATGAAGCCACTGTGGCAAAACGTTTCCTTAATTTTTTTTAAAAAAAAACAATAGATTACCCAAGAGTTGAATGTTGTCTAATTTATAACGTGTCGGTTTCTGTGGAACAATTCATCGATAGAAAAAAAAACAGTTGGTGCAGATTATTTCTTTGCCTTTTTTTTGATTTGATTTTTGGCATTGCTCACTATGATTTTGTACTTTCACTGGCCTTTGATTTCCACATAACCATCACTGAGACTGCAAATCCTATCTATAGACTGCATAGATCACTTTTGCTCTCATTCTATTTTTTTCTATTTAAAACTTCAACATTTTTTAAGATTGTTGTTCTTGTTAGATTAAGGAATCAGCAGTAAGTGATCTTTACTCAGTCTCTGGAGAAGTTATCCTCAAATTTGTTTTTCTCACCGTCTCTGCTTCCGGTGGGCTTAAACAAATAAAAACAGGATACTTTTTATTAGGATACATTCTTAAAAATATCACGTTTGAAGAATGTAAACAATGTCTTGCGAATGAACGCCAGATACAACTCTAAGCCAATTTTTGTTCATGGGGTTTTTTCAATACTAGTTATATTTGTTCTGCATATTTTTCCTTAAGTTCTTCACAACGTTCAGTATATCTTTGCTTCTCATCCTTGGACAGGTTTTTCCCATTCTTTTAAACACACATTTTTGATCTGGGACTGTGATTCACATTGACTGTGCCAAATGTTTTAACCTCATACAGAAGAGCATAAAAGGGTTCTTAGGAGGTTTGCATGGTTCATCAAGAAACTCTGGGAAGGACATTTCAAATTTTATCACATTTTTAAATGCTTCGGATGATTTTAACAGTTGACGACGGGTACTTGCAGATGGGGCGGTTTTCTTAGGATTTTTTGTTTTCTTAATTTTACCTCCCTGTGAAAAACATTAGTTAAATAAGTTTTATATGTTTTGATAAGACTGAATGTGAATTACAGTGTTTTCTTAAGCTTTGTTTTGGAACCGGGTGTGGTGGCGGGGGGGGGTCGGTTGGGTGCGGGGGGGGGTGGGGGGTGGGGGGGGGGGAGGGGTAGAGGGGGGGTTGGGGGTGTGGGATGGGGGGGGGTAGTGGGGGAGGGGGTGTGGCGCGGGTTTGGTCATTATTGTCTGGTGTGGTGTGTAACGTGGTTGTGGTGGTCGATGGGGGAGTGTGGGGGGGGTGGGGGGGGGGGGGGAGGGGGGGGGTTGGGGAGGGGTTGGGGTGTGTGTGATGGGTGGAGGGTGTATGGTTGTGGGAGTGGGAAATGTTGGGGGAAGTTGGGTTGGTGGGTGGGGGGGGGGGGGAGAGGGGGGAGAGCGGAGGGGGTGTTAGGGGGAGGGGGACGGGGGGAGGGTGGAGTGGGGGTGTGGGGTAGGGGGGTGGATACGGGGGTCGTGGGGGGGTGGGGTGGGGGATTTGGTTTTTTTTTTTTTTTTTTTTTGTTTTTGTCTTCCTTTTTTTTCCTTTTTTCTTTTATTCTTTATTATTATACTAACAAGATGGTTACAGTTTTAAAATAATTAACCAGATAGTAACCAAAAATATATCTGCTGAATTGAAAATGACTCATCTTTCACTTTTCTCTTACTAGCTGTTACCACTCCTTTACCTAGACAGACACCCAAACATTTTACACATTGCAGCCACTGACCCCAATGTCTCCATCACCTCCACACTGACTACCACATCTCTACTGCACTGGTTTCTCCTTGTATGAGAATTGAACTTAATTGGTTCCTAGGTGGTGTTGTGAAAGGGTTTCTTTTTTGGGTCACCCTGCCTCGGTGGGAGACGGCTAGCGTGTTGAAATTATGTAAATAAATATACAGTGGTTCCTCGTTTATCGTCGTTAATCCGTTCCTGGGAGTGCAACGATTATCGAAATAGACTATTTTCGAATCAATTTTCCCCTTAAGAAATAATGTAAATACAATTAATCCGTTCCTGACACCCAGAAGTATTAAAAAAAAATTTTTTTTTTACATGAAATATAGATGTAATACAATGGGGACATGTGAAATGAAACATTACAGGCATAACACATACCTTTTTTGCAATTCGTCTTAGTGTATGGAAGACCGAAGGAGGAAAGATTGGATTAGTTACTGTTTGCAAGGGGAATCCCCTTCCATCAACACCTTAGGTACCAAGTCCCTTTACCGGGGTTACTTTCTGTTTCTTAACCCTTTAAAACGTCAAACAGATCGACGTTAAATCGTATTGCTACAAAAGTAGATCTAATTTTTTTTTCATGTTTTCAAATGTAAAACAAAAAAGAAGATCTACATTTTGTACATACTTTCAGATGTTGAAAAAACGTATATATACGTTTGGACCATTTAAGGGTTAATGACATTAGGACCAGCTTGAGTCACTCGAGTCCTGTCTCGCAAAAAGTGTCCAGAGAGCTCTGTTTCTGGTGTTTACCTGGAGTTTACCTGGAGAGAGTTTCGGGGGTCAATGCCCCCGCGGCCCGGTCTGTGACCAGGCCTCCTGGTGGATCAGCGCCTGATCAACCAGGCTGTTGCTGCTGGCTGCACGCAAACCAACGTACGAGCCACAGCCCGGCTGATCGGGAACTGACTTTAGGATGCTTGTCCAGTGCCAGCTTGAAGATGCAGGGGTCTGTTGGTAATCCCCCTTATGTGTGCTGGGAGGCAGTTGAACAGTATCGGGCCCCTGACACTTATTGTATGGTCTCTTAACGTACTAGTGACACCCTGCTTTTCATTTGGGGGATGGTGGCATCGTCTGCCAAGTCTTTTGCTTCGTAGTGAGTGATTTTCGTGTGCAAGTTCGGTACTAGTCCCTCTAGGATTTTCAGGTGTATTATAATCATGAATCTTCTCCCTCCTGCGTTCCAGGGAAACAGGTTTAGAAAACCTCAGCGCTCCCAGTAATTGAGGTGTTTTATCTCCGTTATGCGGCGCCGTGAAAGTTCTCTGTACATTTTTTAGGTCAGCAATTTCACCTGCCTTGAAAGGTGCTGTTAGAGTTGCAGCAATATTCCAGCCTAGTAGAACAAGTGACCTGAAGTGTGTCATCATGGGCTTGGCTCCCTAGTTTTGAAGGTTCTCATTATCCATCCTGTCATTTTTCTAGCAGTGCGATTGATACAATGTTATGGTCCTTGAAGGTGAGATCCTCCGACATAATCACTCCCAGTCTTTGACGTTGGTGTTTCGCTCTATTTTGTTATGGCCAGAATTTGTTTTGTACTCTGATGAGATTTAATTTCCTTCATGTTTAACATATCTGAGTAATTGAAATTTCCATCGTTGATCTTCATATTGTTTTCTGCAGCCCCACTGAAAGATTTGGTTGATGTCCGCATGGAGCCTTGCAGTGTCTGCAATGGAAGGACACTGTCATGCAGATTAGGGTGTCATCTGCAAAGGAAGACCGGTGCTGTGGCTGACATCTTGTCTATGTCGGATATGAGGATGAGGAATCAAGATGGGGCTAGTACTGTGCCTTGTGGAAACAGAGCTTTTCACCGTAGCTGCCGGGACTTTACTTGTTGACGACTAATATCTTGTGTTCTGTTAGTGAGGAAAATTATAGTCATCGACCGACTTTTCCTGTTATTCCTTTCTAGCGCGCATTTTGTGCCGCCTATTATGCAATGGTCACACTTGTCGATGGCTTTTGCAAAGTCTGTATATTACATCTGCATTCTTTTTGTCTTCTAGTGCATTTAGGACTTGTCTAGTGATCCAGTCAGTTGGAGACAGACAGAGAGCGGACCTGTTCTAAACCCATGTAGCCCGGGTTGTGTATGATGGGTTTATAGATGGGTGGTGATCTTGATTCTTAGGACCCTTTGCAAAGATTTTTATTGATATGGGGATGTTAGTGCTATTGGTCTGTAGTTCTCTTGCTGTTTCTTTACTGCCCCTTTGTGGAAGTGGGGCTATGTCTGTTGTTTTTAGTAACTGAGGGACGACCACCGTGTCCATGCTCCCTCTCCATAGGATGGAAAAGGCTCGTGATAGGGGCTTCTTGACAGTTCTTGATGAACACAGATGTTCCATGAGTCTGGCCCTGGGGCAGAGGGCCATGGGCATGTCATTTATCGCCCTGTTCGAAGTCATTTGGCGTCAGGATATCATCGGATTGGCTTGTGTTAATCAAATTTTGTGGCTTCTCATAAAAAATTCATTTTGATCTTCGACTCCATTCTGGTTAGCGGCTTGCTAAAAACTGAGTCACCTTATGGGACTTGAGTTGCTCACTCATTTCCTTGTTGTCATCTGTGTAGGACCCATTTGTTTAAGTAGGGGCCCAATTACTGGACGTTGTTCCTCGGATTTTGATTTGGCATAGAGACAGCAAAGAAATACTTTGGGTTTCTTTCGATTTCATTTATGGGCTTTTAGTTCTTCCCGCGATTCAGGGACTCCTAAGGATTCTTTTAGCTTGTAAGTTCGATGCTTGCTTATTTCTTGACCAGTGTATCCATGCGCATTTCAGTATTATTGACCTCTTTTAGCCGCTTGTTATTCTTTTCCGTCGCCTGTAAGGGGCGCTCCTGTCTCTTTCTATTTTACATCTACTCCTCCTTTTTCTTAGAGGAATAAGCCTGGTGCCATACAATCGAGTGCCACCGAAGTAATATGTTCTAGGCATAAGTTTGGGTCGTGTTGCTATAGTATATCTTCCAGCTTTATATCGGTTAGGACTTGTTTAATTGGTCCCACTTTATGTTTTTGTTTTGAAAGTTGATTTGGTGAATGCTCCCTCGTGACTAGTCTCCATTATGTCGGTTGGGGCTCACGAATTACATGTCTGAACCTCAATTATGTTGTGATTGAGTATATTGTTTTTGGATATGGTGACATTTCTTATCAGATTCATCATTGTTAGTGAAGATGAGGCTCTAGTGTATTCTCCAGTCTAGTAGGGCTCTATTATTTGCTGGTTTAAATTGAATTTTAGTGCAGAGATTTTAAAAGCTCGTGTGAGTGTGAGTTTCTTCATCAGAGATCTGCTCCTTGTGATATTACTGCAACAATATTATTTGACTATATTCCTTCCATTTTAGGGCCTTAAGTTGAAATCCCCAGGAGCAAGATGTTGGGTGCAGGAGCTGGAAGATTTCCAGACAGTGGTAAATTTTTAACGCTGTTCCTGGAATTGCTGGGATGTTGCATCCGGAGGTTGTAGAGTACCACAATGACTAGGTTTTGGTTCTCGGACCTTTACTGCTAAAACTTCCCACTACGTCATTTGAGGCATTAAGCGAAGTTCTGTGCAACAAGTGACTTGCAATGTACAGGCCAACCCCCCCCCTTTTGCCTGTTCACTCTGTTCTCATCAGTATAGGTTGTAACCTGGGATCCATTATTTCGTGTCAAGTGATCCTTATGTGGTCTCAGTGAAAGCCGCGAAACATTGCCTTCTGCCTCTGCCAAAGCAGTTCCACGGATGAAAGGTATTTTGTTGTTTGTTGCTTGGCTTTAGACCCTGTATATTTGCAAAGAAGAATGTTATCGGACTGGTGGTATTGTTGGTACTGGGGGCGCGGATTTTTTTTCCGGTTCCCAGTCATCCTGTCTCTCTCCATGTTGGTTTGGAGTGGAGGCATCGACTGTGGTTCCACTCAGGAATGACATGTGCGGATTTGGTGTAAGATTTCTGCCATTTCCTGCCTGGTTTTTTTTCCTTCCTGCGCACTAAAAAACCTCTCCCTCTGAGTGGCTGTGGCTACCCAGGTTTTCAATGGCGGATGTTTTGTATCTTTTGTCCCCTTTAGATGGTATGCTGGCAATTTAAGTTATAGGCACTGTCTTTCCTGTACTGAAGAGGTACACAATGTTTCAGGTGAAAAGCTTACAGGAGGGTGTTTGCATTTTCCTGTTTGATATGGGCTTGACTTTTCTAGGGTGGTCATAGTTGCATGTCCCATCTGTTTTCCAGATTTCCCATGCCAGAGATACCCAAGTGCATAGTATGTGCACAGGCTTGGTTTCCGTTTGCTTGGGTTTTCTGTGGACTGTATTCCTGTTGGGTGCATGTTCCCTGTTTACTCCTATCTCCTAGCACAACAATGGAGCTCCACCAGTTGTTTTTGGTAATTTTCCTCCTAATGCTATTGGAGTCCTCTTGTTTGCTATTTCCTGCGGTATTTCTAGTCTAAAATGGGCCAAGACTGTCACTGTACAAGTTGCCGATATGGTTTGCAACATCCTTTCATGGAGATGTTTCCATAAATTCTTTCCATCCTAACCCCACATTTGAAAAGCTCCTTAATTTCTGAAGAAGGCAACTTCTTCCATCTCTTCGCCTCTGCAGCAAGGATTCTGAGCTGCGATCTGTTGACTGTTTGCTGAAGCTCTTGTAGCTCCTACAGAGGTAGCTCTTCGTTGTGGTCCCCAAACTCTTCCACAATCCTCCAAACTCACATCCAACCCCATGGAACTCTCAATGCCAAAAAGAGTTCACAACTGACAGTTCATCAGGGTCAGCCACAAACCTTTCAAAATCTCTCTTGTTGGACTAAATCTGCCACATTTTCTCCAAGCAAGAGTTCCAAGTATGGTAGTCACTTCTTAGACCTTTTCCTACCAAATAATCATGTCATAGGTAATATATACGGATAATTTGTTTCTTGTTTATCCACCAATAAAACATTCAACCTATGAGTATGGTGAATCTCATTTTTTGTTCAGCCATATTTACCCCCTTGCACACAGCTTCCTGATTTTCCTTTTTCTTGGCCGGATGGACGATATGGTTGTACGGGTTTTATATGCATCTGGCCTGCTCGGCCTCACGTACGCCACTTTCATATTGTTCAACAATGTTTTCAATAAATTCTATCATTTCCTCCCTTACAAGGCTTGAGCACTAAGAGTTTCTTTGAGCACATGGTAACTTATTTTGCAGGGCAAGCACTTAAATGAATCAAATATTATGAAATTTTGATGAATGTTGAGGGGACCATCGCTCACTGGTAAACAATGGACCACAAAAAAAAACCCACAACACAAACCCACCAAGAACAAAACCAACATCATCAACAAACTGGCGGCTCAGAGCCGTGAGTACGTGTCCAGGACAAACGGCGATTAGAGAGTCAAACCGACCATTTATGAGCCAATGTTTGGACTAAAATAACGTGACAATTTCCGAAAAGGACAACTATTGAGCCCGACTATCATTGAGGGACCACTGTATATCTAGCTCTACTGTTCCTCTTGAGCAAAAGAGATAATTTTGTACAGTACTCACAAGTAGTATCTCATAAACAACGTTAACTCGTCTTGATTATTTTCCCAATCATCTATCTGCATTCTGTACTTCTCCATTTCCTGGAAAACAAATGAATTTCTGGCATCATTATAAATTTTTAGTAACAATGAAATTTTGAATTGGAGCTGCCCTACCATTCCTAAAATCATACTTGGTTATGTCTCATTCCCTAGGTAGTGAGGCCAAGCAAAAGTTCAATGTTTCACTGCAAATACAATAATCCAAGAGTGAGGTGTAGCAATCAGTTTAACACAAAAGGCACTAGCACCATTATTAATTTGCTTCCATTATTAATTTCTACTGTTATCAATTCACTGCATATTCATAAATTTCTTGTAAACAGTTCTGATCACTACCTTATCTAGTAAATATTTGAAATTTAGTTTTCTTGAAGAGGGCAGGCTTTTGTACCTCTCCATAGCCACCACGAGCTTCTCTGAACCTGAAAACTGGTCCAACTCTCCAGTCTTCTAGAGTTCATGATAATACATCATGCTAGGTGTGGTGGGAGGAAGCATTGGCATTCTCTTGTATCTGAAAATATAGGAACATTTGTAGTACCTTGAATAATAAAGGGGATAAAACAAATTACACTATCAATAAGTGTAATTAAAGAATGGCCTATCTGTGAATAGGGCACAATCTCATATGCCTCATTAATGAGAAGGGAAGCTACCAAGTAAGTATACAAGATTTACCAAGAACAAAAAAAAAAAAAAAAAACAGCAATGCTGCCAGAGTAGAAAGCATTCTGAAGGATGGATAAGGAATGGTTCATTTGATAAAAGTGTCACACGTGTCTTCTCAGTACAATACAGTCTTGTGTTACAATGAGAGGGAGTCACCATAGTTCTGAGTTATGATTTGCCCCTCAAAGGAGTTTAGTTTTGAGTTGTGGCAAAAAATTGAAGATATGATATGCATTTGCTCTTTAATTATGCCATCTGTGTTACCATGTCATCATGGCCCCTAAAGTGTGCAATGACCAGGATATCTATGAAGCTCAAAAAAAAATAAAAAAAAAAATAAAAAAAAAAGTGTTAAAACAGATGCAGGAGTTAGAAGGGCATT